GCTCTTGATATAGCTCATGTATTTGGAGAGTGCCCAGTGGAAGACATGTCTCCCCTTTCTTATCTAAATCCACTGTCACATGGTTCTCAATGTTTCACAGCCTTAAATAGCACTCATAAATTTATGATTGTCACCCACTACACCTGTATTTGGATGACTGCTACACATCCCGGATTTAGTGTGCATGGCATTGAATCCCCAAATTCCTTTCCCCATCCTTCATCTACAATCATTCCCATTTCTGAAGGGCAACTTCTTTCAGTTGCTTTGGCTCAAAACCTTAGACTCTCTCTTGCCCTATCCCCCTGAAATGTACATCCAAACTATCAGCAAAAGGCCCACGCTCCTTTCCTGATAGAATCCAGAACTCCACAAGGACTCAGCCTTTTTCATATTACACAAGACACTTCCCTCGCCTGGATTCTCACAACAGTTGATCAACTACCCACAGTTCTGTAGAGGTCCGCATGGAAACCTCTCAGCATGGCAGCCCAATCTGTCTGATCCTGACACCCATCTGTTCAAAACCTGAAGACTTCCTAGTCAGACGGTCTGACCCATGTAGCCTGTCTGTCTGCAGCTTCTTGCCCTCCAATCTCTCTAGCCTCTTTGCTGTCCCTGATCCTCCCTCATTTTCACCCCCTTTTTCTTAATAAAGTTCTTTGTTCTAGTGTTTTTCCAAATAGGCACTTAGTAAATACTTATTGGATGAATAAATGAAGGACCAAATGAACATTATACTACATGGAAGGAACATCATCAATACAAGCACTCTTCGCAATAATGATTGGGCATATATTTTAATTTTATGAACTAATAATCACTCTCTGAAAGCTGAATATTTTCTTCTCCTTTTATTTGTTGTGAATTTGGAATAATATATAATTTTCAAATCCAGGCTCTTTATATCCTTTAGTAGAATACGACACATGCACAAAAGCATAAATTATGTGTTTAATCTCAAAAATTAAATTTCTAGCCTTACCTCTTTTCATAGTGCTTTGGGTGCCTTCTCTACACTGACATGAGCAAGTAGAAGATTCTATGCCCAGGACACACCCTAGGCAGATCTGTGCACATGCTGACCAAAGCTGTGTTCTCAAACAGTCCTTCTTAGCACTCCCCCATCCCAACTGGCACCGGAGCTTGTAGGAGGTTATACTGCAGAGGACTGGCCTCAAGAAACCATCTGTACTGTCGATGAGGTCTTGGCATCATGTCTCAGGTCCCTGAATCCTTCCCCGCAGCCAGGCAGGCTCCCAGGCTATCCTTCCAGGCAGCTTTGCCTGCTTGCTCTCAGCTTTTCAATGCTTTTCCGGCCCCAGAAGCCATGTGGGCTGGTTTTGCTGACAGCAGCCACCAGCCCATGCGGTTCCCATTAGCACAAACTGTTACCTTCGTGGAGACCAGTTTGCAAATGAGTGGATTGTAGATAATACAGATGTCAGGTCCAAGAGGCCACTCCCAGGGCTCCCAGGATTTGCTTTGGCAGATGTGTTGGTATCGATGAATGTCCTTCAAAACCAAATTGGAATGGACAAAACTGATTAATTTACTCAGGTATTTTGGTTTCTTTTTGGTTTGTTTGTTTGCTTCCATGTTCAGCTCGGTAGAGTTTTAAGAGCATCGAGTTGAAAAGGCCAGTTGTTTCATATGGGGAGAGAAATTTGAGTCCTGCTCCTTTCCAGTGTCCAAGCTCACAACATCATGATTCTGTCATGGGGTTGATGCATGTTAACTGTTTAGGACAATAGCATGACTCTCAGTACATGTACATACACTAGCAGGAAGCAGTTCCTGAATGCCCCACCACCTCTGGAAATATGGTTGGTGACTTCCAAGCTTTCAATATGTAGCTAACAACCTCTCTCTGGAGGTAAAACACTAATAATTCATAAACCATTTTCAAATACAGAATCTTGTTGGAGTTTTACAATGTTGGGCTACTAATGGGTTTTTGATTTTTCATATGTGTGTATAGGGGGAGGAGTTGCATGTTCATATGTGTGTTCATATGCATGTCCATGTGTGCATGTGTCTGTGGGGACCAGAGGTCAACCTTGGGTCTTGCACCCCAGGAGCCATCTACCTTGAATTTTTAGAAAGAGATCTCTGTGACCACTGACTCGGCTAGACTAGATGGCCAGCAAGCCCCACAAATCTGCATGTCTCTATGTCTCTGTCTCTACGGCAATGGAATCACCAGTGGGCATTACCATGCTTGGCTTTCTACATGGATGCTGGGGATCAAACTCAGGTCCTCATGCTTGCATGACAAGCATTTTATTAGCTAATCCACCTCTCTCCCATGCCCAGTTCATTTTCATAACAAAGGTGAGGACACTCAAGCTTTCAAGGGCAAACCAACTTGACTGAAGTGACATGGCCAGGAAGAGGCCCATGTTGGGACTTAGCCTCAGCATTCTGGACTGCAGGCAGACCAGATCTCATGCTCTAACACCTCAGCTGCCCCAGCGACTTAGAACAATACTGGGCAGGGCTCACTCAAGGACATAAGCTAGCTGCTCACAATGGGGCCTGATGGGGCACGTTGCATCGAAACTGGAAGTTGGCATTGAGACCCAGGCTCTGTGTGTCACAGCAAAGGGCCGCCACTCTAGCTGAATGACACTGAAATGGTTGGGAATAGAAAGTTTCTTCCTGCAGTGGATAATGCCTCATCACCGAGACCCAGGAGCTACTGTAGCAACTGAGAAGAAATCATCCAAAGCAGTGGTCAGGTAAAAGGGAGAATTCTGAGCTAAGGATGAGACAAGACTCAAGGATGAGTCTCTCTGAGGCTACTCCTCCTAATAATTTATGGCTCCTTGCCTAGGTCCAGTAATAGACAGGAGCTGATGGAGAAGGAGAGAGGGACAAAGGACTGAGTTCCTTGGAGAAAACCACTGGGTAGAAGGAGCTGCGGTAGGGTAGGGTAGGCTGCTGCTGCCTGTTCAGGTGGATGCTGTGTGACACATCGTCCCCTTCCTCCTTGTCACAGCACTGTGACTGGACAGGTATATTGTTTCCATGCTGTGATTGCAGAAACCGAGGCTTAGAAAAGTACTTTATCCTCAGTCGTGGAACTCATGAGCGACAGAGTGAGCATTCAGCAACAGCCTTACCTTCTTCCTTCCCACATAACTTCTGCCCCCACCCCCCAGTCTCCCTAAGCACAAACAGCCCTATCGAGTCTCTTCTCTATGGCAAGCATTATCTTCAGTTCCCTTTTAGAACAGTGGGAAGACTTCTTTAAAAACAATTAAGCCTGCTTTTTGTAGCCAACTTTAGGTGATATCTTACATAGTTCTTTAGGCCCATGCAGTTCACTAAAGGGAAACCCTACTGGTAGGTAGCATACTCCAGTATGTCAGTTCCAGGCTCTGCTCTAAACATGTGGCATACATGGAGGCATCGAGTCTTGGTGACGCTTTGATCTCTACTAGACTTTATTTTACCTTTCTCCCCCTGTGTGGATGCTCTCATATCAAGGCTGTTTTGTTATCTCTTCATCATTGTAAACTCTGGTGGGGCGTGGAACAGACAGGCGCTGGCCCACCATTCTCCACCTATCACTGGATCATTTCATTGCCCTGTCACTGTCTGTAGCCACCAGAGGCTTGAACCAGACGGATCATCTGCTCCAGAGCTGATGTGTCTTTTAAGGACAGGCTTCAGTTTCTCTGTCAGTAGTCAGTGAAAGTTCATTGTTTGCCACGAGAAGTCATGCTGCTGCTTTCTCTGAACAGAGGATGCTGAAGGTGAACTGCCCAGAGTCAGGTTTAGCTGTGCTGGTACGGCGGGTGTTCTGCACACACTCAATTCTGATTCTTTACTCCTTTACTCTGAGCAATATTGTCCAGTCACACACACACACACACACACACACACACACACACACACACACATACACACACACACACGCCATATATATATATGTATGTATGTGTATATAAGTATGTGTATATATGTATGTATATATGTGTGTATAAATGTATGTATGTATATATACACATACATACATACACACACATACAGTAGCTAAGTAAATACAATGATCATGGCAATTATGCCCATGACATTCATGATATGAACAGCCCATGTGTGTCCTGTATGTACCATGTGCTATGTGCTGTGCTAAGCTAAGGATTTTTTTCTAGTTTTTTTTAACTATTTATTTATTTATTTATTTATTTATTTATTTATTTATTTATTTATTTTTGAGACAGGGTTTCTCTGTGTAGTTCTGGCTGTCTTGGAACTCACTCTTTTTTTTTTTTTTTTTTGGCTTTTCAAGACAGGGTTTCTCTGTCTAGCTCTGGCACCTTTCCTGGAACTCGCTTTGTAGACCAGGCTGGCCTCGAACTCACAGAGATCGCCCTGCTTCTGCCTCCCGAGTGCTGGGATTAAAGGCGTGCGCCACCACTGCCCGACAGAACTCACTCTGTAGCCCAGGCTGGCCTCAAAGTAAGAGATCTGCCTGCCTCTGCCTCCAAGGTGATGGGATTAAAGACACGTGCCGCCACTGCCTGGCTAAGGATTTTCTTTATATTGTTATATTTTTATTATATTTATGTATTTCATGTGTGGGGGTGCCATGTGCCATGGCAAATGTGTGAATGCCAGAGGATAAACAGAGACTCTTTCTCTTCCTACTATGTGTGCCTCAGGTTGTCAGACATAAGACACTGAGCCATTCACCAGTCCCGGATTACTATATTCTAATCCTCCCAACAAACCTAAGAACCCACATTTTAATTTGTGTGTGAACACATAGGAACAATAGAACTTACGTGTTGGCACACAGAAGGATTTGGCCCTTTTTACCACACTTAGCAGTTCATGCATGTTCCTGAGCAAATGCATCTGTATGGGGGATCTGGCTATGAGACTGCATACGGAGCAAAGTGTGGAAGACTCCAGAACAGGTTCCTTAGAGTCAGGAAAGAGTTGTGCATCTTTTGTGCTGTTTGATTCACAAGAGGAGCATGCACAATCTTTTGTTCAGTTCAACAAATCTCTAATTGTTTTCCTGTGGGCCAGTCATCTGTCACTGGGAAATAAAAATCATCAAAACAAGAGCCACTCAAGAAAAACTGGAAGATTTACCTGGCATTCTTCCTTTCACCTAGTAGGTCTGAATCAGTGTTGCCTTACACAGACTCATCCCTACTACACAGGCTCTAATATTACCTATTGCTCCTCTGCACAAATGCAAAGTGACAGATTAGCACACAATTGTTCACAAGGCTCCCTTGGCATAGACACAGGTTAGCATCAATGTGGCCATTACTCAAACAGGAAAGGAAAGCTCATGCCCAGGATCACACAATTCTTTAAGCCTTTTACTCATGCTTGATAATTCATGGGCAAAATATGGCTGCCACGGCTCTGCTCTGGCTCCCCCCCCCTTTTTTTCTTTATTAAGATAAACATAGTGGGAAGTGTCCTAGGCTACGCATGCCAATTTTATTAGAAACAATGTCCCTAGAAGCCAAATAAGACCTGGAGAGAGATCAATATATACCTGTCCTCAACAGTGTCATGTATTGAATTATGGACACAGAATGCATGTACCTAATGAAAGGGACAGCCAAAGTGTCTGCTGCTACGTTTTACAACAGACAATTGAGAGATCATGTCAATTTTTAAATGAAAAAAAAAATCAGAATACAAGCAGCGTAATTCTACCAAACAGTACGTGGTTGTGTAAAAAATAAGGGCATAAGGAACTATGACAGGATTATCAAAATTTTCTTTTTTATTCCTTTATTCTTTTCCTCTTCTACATCTTCTTTCATGAGAAGGTTTTATAGACAGAAGTTACTAATTGGGAAAGCCTCACTTTTGCCAGACCTTTGCTTCCTTGATTACAACTGCTCCTTTACACACACACACACACACACACACACACACACACACACACACACACTCCCAAGTCTCCCTAAGCCTTTGTTCAACAACACAAGGTTTGGACTATGAAGAACAGTGCAGGGCAGGCAAGGGCACTTGCTTTCCAGGCTCAGTGGGGTAGGGTGACATATGCCCCAATCTTCTCCCAGTATCCAGGCCTTATATTAATGCTCGTTTGTTCCTTGTCACAAGCCTCTGCTATCAGTGACAGAGATGCCATGTAGAAGTGCAGACACAGGTTCATTTTCTCTGCCAATTAAAGAATTAGAAGGCAGAAAAGAGGTATCACTGGAACTCTTGGGGAGTCCTACTAGGGTCCTTACATGATTCCTGGGAAATTGGGGTCCCCTCTTGGGGCTCTTAGTCTCAGGAATAAAAGAATTTAAGGATGAATGCCACTCCAAGCTGAAGGAAAAGCCCAGACTCAAACAGAAGCCCCATGACAATTTATTGCAGTTTAAAGGGAAAACCCCATGGCAGGCGAGCTATAAATCTCACAGCTTCCTGGAAGGGAAGAGGGGAATGTAGAAGAGAAGGAACATAAGCCTGCTGCTTGAGATAAGACAGTATGGAGGTCAGCCACCTGGCAGCAGGCAGCCACAAGGCCAGCCCAGAGAAGAGTTAGAGAGGAAGGAATCCCAAAGCGCTGTTAGGGAGTTGAAAAGCATACTTTAGTTTTGCCAGCATCTGAAAGAAAAGAATACAAAGAGAAGAAAAAGAAATACTCAGGCTTCAGGAAGGTGGTCAGGCCCAGCTGAACATGGAGGCTCAGTGTTAGGGACTGCAGTAGTGGGGTGGGAATTCTGGGAAGAAGTACATTGTCTTAAGATAAACCTGGAGGTATGGGACTACTTCCATCGTAGAGGGGACGACACTTTGTCACTACGGCAATAGATACTTACTCTGATTATGGGGTTGTCTTTTCTGCACATAATGCTTCTACTAAAACTGCCATGCAACATTTCACTGTCGTGCAATTCCACACTGCATTGTTGCAGACCAGGAAATCCCCCTCCCAGCTAAGGGAATGCAGCAGTAGGCACCTACTAATGGAATTCACTGATCTTACTATGTCTCCAAGGTTGAGCTTGGTCAGTGTTTTATCATAGTAACAGAAACCTAATTAGGGCAGGGTGGTCTCCGAGCCAGATCTGGAACCTGACTCACTGGATTAACCCTTAAGGGATGAGACAAAGGCATGCCTCCCCCCGGAGGAAGATTCCATTCTTTACAATAAATTATGTGTTCACTTTAAATTTGGGGGAAAGGTATGGGTTTCATCTCTGAAAGACTGTCCAACAGCCAGTTCTCCAGGCTTTGGTGTCCTCCCCTACAACTCAAGAACCATGTGCTCACTTCACTGAGTCAGGACCTGAAATGAGCAGTCAAGTCCATCTATGCGAAGTGCCAATGCCTGGTAGGCAGATGCCAATGGCCATTCCTTTCTGCTTTCACTAATACTCTGATGAATACTTTAGATTTCAGGCCTTTAATCCGAGCACTCAGGAGGCAGAGGCAAGTGGATCTCTGAGGTCGAGGCCAGCCTGGTCTACAGAGCGAGTTCCGGAACAGACAGGGCTATACAGAGAAACCCTGTCTCAGCAAAGAAAAAAGTGTGAATTCAAATCAGTAACTTGATATTGATAACTCAATTGTTCTACTTAATCCTACAGACTCCCCTAGGATCTCCTTGGAGGAGAAAAAGAGCAGGTAGGCATGCTGGCATCAGAGTCAAGGGACAAAGAGAAGCAGGGTGGTGAACAGTCTAATCACAGCTGATTCACGGACACGGCCGTGCACGAAAGAGTGCGGAATTAGTGAAGGCATTGAGTAGCTTTAAAGCATGGGTATCACCTCTGTCATTCAGCAGTTTCCAGGCAAGTGGGCCATCTGCCACGGGATTCTGACACATACTTGGCAGCTTTTTGAGGCTCTTTTTAGAAAAGGTCCAGGGAGGAATTCTGATCATTGAAAAGCTCTTTGTAAAGAGTGACCTGCTGCAAAGCTATGAGGAGTATCGGAGCCGAGCCGGTGGATCCCAGCTCCAGACTGTAACCCTGGGCCTGTAACCCTGGGCCCCGAGCAGAAACTCAGTAGACAAGCAGTCGTGGAGCCACATGCCCGTGAAATGCCTTAGTCCTCCTCTATTTTCGCATTTCTTTGTGTAGGCCCCTCTTCTGCTTAGCCAAGAGTCTCCATTTCTCTGGGAAAGAATTTTTAAAAACCAAGCAGTAAGTCACTGAAGAAACCAGCCTCCATATCCAAGCTTTGACATCTCTGCCTGGACATAGCAACTCAAAAGTATTAGAAGCCGAATCTGATCATGAAAAGAACAAGGCTTTCTTTCTTTTCATCCTCTTTTTGTTTCAGAATTTCCTCCATGCATGTAATGTGTTTTGATCAAAGTCTCCCCTCATGCTCAGTTCCACAAATCCTCCCCTATGACCACCACTTTTCACCCCCAGCACCACATGCTGGCTTTTTTTACACCCAAGTCCACTTAGTAGTCTCTCACTCTCTCTCTATATATATATTTCTATCTATCTATCTATCTATCTATCTATCTATCTATCTATCTATCCATCTATCTATCTATCTATCTCTATATATACATATATGTGTATACACACACACATATATATGCATATATATGCATATATATATATATATGCATATATATGTGTGTTTAGGTCCATCTACTTGGGCATGGTAGCCTCTCATGTTCTAGATCCCTGAAGAACACTGACTTTCTCTCCACCAGCAGCTATCATTGTCGGTCACTCCTCAGCTTAGTCAAAGAAAGTGACTAAGATGGATTCCTAGTACATGAAGAATGATCTAGAACCCCTGATTTAAGACCAATTGCTTCTTGGTCACAGTAAGAGCTTACACCTATTGAGGAGCAGAATGTGTCAGGTCTCATTTAAAATACGCAACAAATAAGGGTTAAGTAGAGGTGGAGCACAGTGGGGTAAGTGCTGGCCTGGTATGCACCCTGGCCAAATCCTCAGCACCTCTGAATAAAAGCAGATATCTTATTTAAATAATAAACTCAGAGTGTAGCACTATTGTTTTCCATATTTTACATGTTGGGAAATGGTAAAAACGTTCTAGAGATTTCACAGATCCATACATCTAGCCAGTACCAAGACAGGATTTGAGTCCACGAAGTCTAGGTCTGAAAACCTGCTTACGAGACTGACCCTCAAGATTCTGTGTGCCAGAAGAAAGTATTTACGAGGTAGCCATTGGGTTCTGATGAAGGAATGAATGAAGAGCACTCCTACCCAGAAGGTAGCACCACTAGCCCCAGAAGGTAACAGCACCAGAAAACACTTGGGACCAGGTTGTAAATAGAATATCTCTGCCCAATTCCTGCACTCACCAAAGCTCAGCTGGAATAACAAGAGAACAGTATCCACCCACACCCTTTTCTTTCCTCACCAAGTCTCACCCAGAGCAGCACAAGAAATGCAGCCATCTCTGTTCCCTTCACCAACCTTATCGAGGCTATCTGGAGTAAGAGAGGACATGTACCCATTCTATTACTTCTTTAACCTTATCAAGACTCACCTAAAACAACAAGACAGTATCTGTCCCATTCTCCTGTCCATCCTCATCAGGTCTCATCTTAGCGTAGCAGAATGACTGCACCCATCCTATCCTAATGTCCAGCCTTGTCAAGCCTCTCCTGGAGTGATTGACAGCACTGTGTTCATTCTCATTCCCTTCTCTATCCTCACCAAGGTTCACCTGGACTAAAAGAGGGGCCATACTTACCCTACTTCTGCCTCCATCCTCATCAAAGCTTACCTGGGAACAGAAGGAGGCACCTACCTCTCTCCTCCTCTTCTTTGTTTTCTTCAAAGTCTTTATTCAAGACTCATAGAACAGATTCTCAAATGACTCCCTGTCAATGGTTTCTACCCTCTATAGCCCAGATCTCATACTGCTGCTCCAAGCAGAAGCCTGGCTCTCTCGCTTTTCTTGCTGCAAACCTTCAACTGTCTAGATCATTGTTCTTCAGTAGAATCTCAGGAATTACACAATGGTCTGCATCTACTCCGCCCAGTGGGACAGACAACATACAAGCACAGCTTTAAGTGTTCAAACTCTTACTTGTGCTGTTGGAGAACTTGACTTTAATTCTTAAATGCCTCCTGTGG